GACCTTGGTTTATCATGTCCTTTTGTTCCCAGTTATTTTGTGCTCGAGCATTCACCTTGGTTTTTCTTCCCAACTTAGAGTGTGACAGAGCCATGAGATTTAGAGTGTGACAGAGCCTTGTGTATTAGAGTGTGACAAAGACATGAGACTTAAAGTGTGACAGAGCCATGTGTATTAAAGTGTGACAAAGCCGTGAGACTTAGAGTGTGACACAGCCATGAGGTCCACAGTGTGACAGAGCCATGTGTATTAAAGTGTAACAAGGCCATGAGTCGTCATTAAAGTCAGTGTAATAAAGTCAGAATGACTCCAGCTGTTCAAATTAAATGGACCTGTATGCAGTTTAAATCAGAACTGCAGCTCTACAGGGAACACAACTGAAAACCTTTGTAGGATTTGAACCCTATCTTGGTGAACGCAGATGCGGTGCTCTAACAAAAGCCACCAAAAGCAGAATTTTTTCCAGGGATACTCAAACTGTTTTGAATTGAAGACGAGCATGTTGCTACTGAGCAAAAATATGTGACTGTCAATTAAGTTCCATAAGTAAACACAGCCTTGGTACCAGGTACTAATAAACACAGGGATAGCGCATGTAGTTGCCAAACTGGCCCTGACACAGGAAAATACCTTGGAATTTGCGACATAAGGCACCTCGCAACTTATAAAGTGATATTTAAAAAACCTAACAGCTACTGGTAATTAAATAGAGGCTGGACATTCTAGAATATTCTAGAAATCCAAAATAATTATCCAATAGAATTGGTGAAAACGTATCATGTGACACCTCAAGGGACCAGTTCTATTTAATGGTTGTGTACTCTTTAAGAGGGATTCAGTTGATTTCAGATGTTTCAGGCCGTTTATGGGAGCCTCGACGACAGACAACTGGACAGAAGTTTTGAGGAAAGATGTTAAACAGCTTGTAATAGGATTCTATTCATGAATTCCCAAGGAAATATAGGAGCTGAATAGAAGAATTGTATGAGAAACAAGGCTGACCAACTTCCATTAGAGCATATTACAAAATGCTTTTAAAGAGATCATTTAAGATGTGACAGACAGACGTTTTTCTTATAATTTATTAAGCTTCGTGGTGAAGAGGCTTTTCACACTTAGAGCAGAATTGTGTCAGAAGAGAGTGGTAGGATTATTTCACGGATTATTCACAATTTAACACTGGTGATATTTGTAATTGGATTATAAGCTCCGTAGGGACAGAACCCAAAAACTGTATGTATATGTTTTGTGGCGTTATTGAATGTACCATCTGCCAGACACTTGACAATTAAAGAGCATAATCAAATCAATAATAACGGCTGAAAGTCTGTGTGTCTGTTCATCATCAAAGGATATTCGTATAGTGTGTTTGATAAAAGCAAACTATGTCTAATGTCATTAACTGTAGCTGTTTAAGAACTGGGGCGGCTATACAGGTGGGTACTCTGACAAAAGTTCTTTTCCTTGCTCTGTTAGACTTTCTCCAACTCTTCCATCTGTCCAGTTTTCAGTACAGCTGATTCTTAGTTGTTTCCCTTGCTCTGTTAGACTTTCTCCAACTCTTCCATCTGTCCAGTTTTCAGTACAGCTGATTCTTAGTTGTTTCCCTTGCTCTGTTAGACTTTCTCCAACTCTTCCATCTGTCCAGTTTTCAGTACAGCTGATTCTTAGTTGTTTCCCTTGCTCTGTTAGACTTTCTCCAACTCTTCCATCTGTCCAGTTTTCAGTACAGCTGATTCTTAGTTGTTTCCCTTGCTCTGTTAGACTTTCTCCAACTCTTCCATCTGTCCAGTTTTCAGTACAGCTGATTCTTAGTTGTTTCCCTTGCTCTGTTAGACTTTCTCCAACTCTTCCATCTGTCCAGTTTTCAGTACAGCTGATTCTTAGTTGTTTCCCTTGCTCTGTTAGACTTTCTCCAACTCTTCCATCTGTCCAGTTTTCAGTACAGCTGATTCTTAGTTGTTTCCCTTGCTCTGTTAGACTTTCTCCATCTCTTCCATCTGTCCAGTTTTCAGTACAGCTGATTCTTAGTTGTTTCCCTTGCTCTGTCAGACTTTCTCCAACTCTTCCATCTGTCCAGTTTTCAGTACAGCTGATTCTTAGTTGTTTCCCTTGCTCTGTTAGACTTTCTCCAACTCTTCCATCTGTCCAGTTTTCAGTACAGCTGATTCTTAGTTGTTTCCTGATAAAACAACATTTCAGATGCCTACAGATATTTCTGATCACATTTTTATTGAGTGTGTGTTTCTAGAGATCACATCTTCAATATGAGAATAATCTTTGACAAGTTTAAGGAAAATAAATATGGATCGCCACACTTGTTTCACTTTGTCTAACATCAAAAATTGTGAATCATGAGAAGTATGGGGTTTCCAACACATTTGGTATATTTAATTAAAAGTTTATATTACGAACAACAAGCAGCAATCAGGGCACCTGGAAAAACTTCAGACTGGTTCGAAGTGCAAGAGTGAGGGAGGCAGGTGTGCATTCTCTCACCATACCTATTTCATATATTTGCAAAAAGAACACAAAAGATAAATGTCAAAAATGATCATACTTCTGACAGTTATAATCCGTTCATAACTGGCGGTAACCCTGTTCTGGAACTTCACTACACAGATGACACATTCCTCTTTTTGAACAGTGTAAAGGGAATAGAACATTCAATTATGTCTGTCCAAAAACCCAGTGAAGATCAAAATCTGTTCTTGAATTTAAAGATAAAAATACTGTCTACAGACAAAACTGCATGTCACTCAAAAATAACAATAAATGATGAAAAAATTTTACAAACTTTAAATTTTCTTCCTTCGTTCACTTGAAACGAATTGCAATGTTGTCTGTAGTATGAACTTCATTGTGCAAATTTTGAATATCTGGGCTCCACAAAAAAACAGCAACGGAGACTTCACCAGAAGTCAAAAGGAGGACGGCCGTAACATTATAATGATTAAAGAGCATCAAATTGTGTCTTCCCTGTAGCAACATACGGATATGAGTCAGTGTTTCAGGAAGAAAACAGGGGCTTTTGAGCCAAAATGCTATAGAAGGATTCTCAAAATAACATGGACAAAGAAGAAGAAAATACTGACAATCTAAAAGATGTGAACATCAAGGGAGACTGGCCAGTAAACAGTGTCTTGTCTCCGAAGCTGAAATATCTTGGCCATATCAAGTGCCACGGCGGACTAGACAAAATTATAACAGCAGGCGTGCTACCACTACCAAGAAGGAGGCCCAAGAAGAAGACTGGCACAGGATATAGGTCTCCTTGGGTATAGGGACGGAAGAGCTGGTGACATTGAGTTTCTTTCAAGCAGACCGTCATAAGAGTGACGTTCTGCAAAGAACCTGCTACATGATCATGATGATGATGCCAGTGTTTCATAATAAAATGTTCCCTTTCTTCTCTTCATCGAGTTAATCATCAAAGTGATGGGAGAATCTTCAGTGTGTTCTTTCTAATGCATCATATGTTTTAATTGATCTTCATTTCTTGAAAGGAGTCAAGTATGTGGGAGCTGCCTTCCAAGTCAGAGTGCATCTGCCTGAGAGGCAAGGAACCAACAGTCTGCCTGCAGATGAGTCAGACCTTTGAAATGGATGTGCACGCAACACTCCATTTCCGGAACAGGACTTACTAGAGTCCATAACCGGTTGAACAACCTGAACTTTCCGCCAATTTACAGCCAGTGAATGCGAAGAAATTTTTAAGGCTGTTCTTGATGTCGTCATCCCATATTTTCTGTGGTCTTCCTCTTAGTTTGTTCATAAGAATTCTTTCCACTGTGTGTTACTGTCAGATGGCGAAATAATCTCTTCCGTTGCTCTTTAACGAACTGTACAACTGGTTCCAGCCCTAATCTTCTAACTTTTTCTTGTTACTCAGACAGCTCTTTTAAGACATTTGATATACGAAGCCTATGAGTCTACAACCTGATGTATGATGATGGTGATGGCGGCGTCACCTGTAGATTTGATGTGACCAGCCAGCATTTAACAATGTCTGATTTTAGATTTCATTATGCCCATTTGAGGTAATAAATCTATACATATGTTTGTAACCCACATGTTACTGGAATGATCAGCTTCTACATCACACAACATCTGCTGAGAGAGACGGATCACTTGTCAGTTTGGCCAGTATTATATTATCAATTTTTAAAATCAGGAAGCAGGGTGACATGAGAAACAATTAAACAATGTAACAAATTCATGAGAAAAGTAAGAGGGTGAGAGAGAAAAGATAAGAATAGCCCAGCATCATGACACTCAAAGACAACAAAACAGTTTTGAAGAAATATAACATCCTCAGCACTTGGGAAGGCATTAAATATTGTTGACCAACATAATATTTGGTTTTGTTTCTTCACATTTAATGTTCTTTTTTTGTTTGTTTAGCACTTTAGTCTCTAGTCTTGTACACTTCTTTGCTTCTGCTACCAACAGTAAAAAATATATGGTACAGCAGTATATCTACAAATTCTGTATTCCAGTACTAATATTTACTTGTTGTGTTTTACTTCTGATTCCAACTCTCTAGTCCTATTTCTTCACACTTTTGTTGACACACTAATTCCAGATAATCCATTCCACAATGCTGGCACTCAACAACCAACTGCTGATACTCAACAACCAACTGCTGGCACTCAACAACCAACTGCTGGCACTCAACAACCAACTGCTGATACTCAACAACCAACTGCTGGCACTCAATAACCAACTGCTGATACTCAACAACCAACTGCTGGCACTCAACAACCAACTGCTGGCACTCAACAACCGCTGATACTCAACAACCAACTGCTGATACTCAACAACCAACTGCTGATACTTAACAACCAACTGCTGATACTCAACAACCAACTGCTGATACTCAACAACCAACTGCTGATACTCAACAACCAACTGCTGATACTCAACAACCAACTGCTGATACTCAACAACTAACTGCTGGCACTCAACAACCAACTGCTGATTGAGTATGAAACCCAGCTTTAAAATGTGACCTTGGTGTGGAACTTTCTAAATGCCCTGGAGATCCTCCAAGAGTTGGGTTCCTCATATTTATTGTAGAGTGGTTCAATCTTTTGTTGCTTTTTCTGCTTGCTGAGTTTTGTGGGGTCTGAGTGTTTGAAGAACTTCGGTGCAAACTCCACAAGCCACTTGGGATCAATGGCTGTGACTTCTCTCATGTATTCTTTGGTGGTCAACACCAGCTCATGGTAGATCACCCTGCAGAGCAACAAAGAGGAGTCAATAAATATCCAGTCACAAAATTGTATGATTGTACATCTAGTGGTTGTATATCTACTGGTATGACTGGATCCTGGGGTAGGAGCCTGTCCTACTACTAGGTGCGTCCACTGGCTGATGGTGGAGTGGCCTCTAGATACAGAGGTTAGCCACAAATATACTGAATAAGCGGTCGTGGACCAAAACAGGTGGTGGTCACTGAGAGGTGGCGAGCTAGCTGGTGGGACAGCTAGATCTATAAAATACTAGAAAACATCATGACCTGGCCATCTGCAGGTAAGAGGTGCCAATATAACCTCTCTCGCCGGCTGCTTTGTAGTTTATGTCTCTATAGACAAAGGCTATTGGAGTTAAACCATACACAAACTAGCAGAAGGCAAGGGAAACCGCCGCTGTATTTTCCCTATTAAATCACGCCTTTAAACCAATCATGTGGAGAGGTAAGATCGCCCACGCCAGTTGGCAAGGCACTTGATGATGATGATGACTGAACAACATTACATGTCTGATTGTATATCTAGTGATCTCACTGTCATCCACTTACATAAACACAAAATAATGAGTAAAAGTGCTAAAACGTATTAAACATACATAGACTAGAAACAAGAAGGATACTTTTTTTTTAAATGTGGAAGAGGAAAGATTAAGGCACCTCTATACTTCAAGACAGAAAGGAAATGAAAAAACATAACTGTAAGGTATCCCTACACCTTTGGACATGAGGAGGAAAGACTACAGAAAACTGTAAGGTACCTCTTTACCCCAGGGTAGAAAAGAAAACATTAAACAAGACTTTAAAAACCCTCAGGCAGAGGAAATCAACAGACTGTGAGTCTATCCCATGCGACAAGATGACAACAATGTAATGCAAAGAGCCTCAGACTAAACAATGAACGGCTGCAGAAAATAATACCAGTCTGGCTGCCAATTAAATAGGGCCTGTGATGGGAACATGAAGAAATAAAAAAAGCAAATCAAATCTTACCAGTCTGGCTGCCGGTTGAACAGGGCACTAGATGGATGTATGTAGACCACCTGGCTATCAACAATTGTCTTGTAGCCTTCTTGTGGATCCTTCTTGGCTGCATTGCGGAAAAAGCCACTGCAGATTGCCTTCTGTACCCGAACTGTGCTCTTGCCACAGGAAACAACATCAAGTTTGTGCCTGCAATAGTAACAGTAGGTTAGTTTACTCACTGACTACCAGAACATCAAATCTGGCGGTGGTAGTCAGAAACAATAAATGTGTCCCTGTTAGTAAATGAATCTATACCATTATTTTGGCAAGGCAAATAAACTAACCACTGTGTGTCTGATAGCCGATAAAGCTCCTATCGTCAGTGTTATTTCAACACAATGCTTAAATCATTATCCTATACAGTGTTCTAGCTTTCAATTCTAATTATCTTCTGCCTTTGACTCTACTCAGTGGAGGGTATTTGGTACCTTTTGTGTTCATCCCTTGTCTTTATCAGATTGATCCAGATTCTTTTCAACTGTCTACACAGCACATCATGGTGGAGATACTCTAACAAGACAAATAATAAATACTTTGCCAATTACCTGTCCATAATTCCCAACATCTGTTTCCTGACATCCTGGGCTCGCTTCAGTGTTCGAATCTGCACAAAATTCTCGTAGCACCAAGGGCTGGAGAACTTGTTGTTTTTCCAGGAGTTATACACTGCCAGTAAGGTCATGTGATCACCCTCTGACTGATGAAATTTGGCTTTCTTGGAATCAGCAATTGCCTGTTTGTCCTGAGAGAGACCAGAAACAACAAGGTTAGCAGTGACATGCCTTCATTTATTGAGAGAGACCAGAAACAACAAGGTTAGCAGTGACATGCCTTCATTTATCCCGTGCTTAGCAAACTGTGTGTCAACAGTCTATACACCAGACTCATTTCTGAGGGAAACTCAACAGTTTTGATTGTGAAGAGATAATTGAACAAGTGCTGTGATTTAAAAATATACTGTGATTTGAGCATGTGTAGGGATTCAACCAAAACCCAAGATACAAAAGGCTGAACTGTGAATTGTTCTAGTAATGAAAGGACATATTGCTTAAGCTTTCATATTTAAAAGATTCAACATGCAAAAGTTTGGATGGTTCTAGTATTGAAAAGATTCACATACAACCGTACATTCTTTAACATTTTCACCCAGAGACACTGCCAATCCTGTGAGGGTGTCCATTACTAATCTCACTGAAGCTGTTAAACTGGCATTGCCACACTGGCAGTTCCCAACAAGCCTAGTTAACTGGCACTGGTTCTGTTTGTGCAGCGTTTAGGAGAGCCAGTTATGATTATAAGTAAAGTAAAGTAAAGTTCCCTTTTCACGCCTTTCGGCGCATCGGCATATGGGCAGAGCGTCCCATATTTTTACAGACCATCAGCACTCTGTGGGTAATGTGGTCAGCATTACGCCGGCTGTCTTTACTTTCCCAGGACAGCCCATCCTGGTACCCATTTTAGGCTGGGTCGACCTGCGACGTCCCATACCACGATGAAAATCCATGCAGTTATGATTATACTTCATGAAAATAGATGGGCTGGAATGTTTGTGAAACAAGTGCTGTTTTTAGTCATTATATTTGCCTTTAGCGGCCGCATAGCACACTAACTCATAGTAGCAGTCACCATATACATTATTTAGGCCCATGAGAATGTAACAACCAGAATTTTCCACCAGAGTTTACAGCCGGTGGATGTTAAAAAGTAAGAATTTATTCTTTTAATTCTTCACTCTTTTTGTGATTTGTTTTCATTACTCCCCTTCATATATTTCTGTAAAAAACTTTCAAAACTAATAATAAATAAATAAATAATAAATATTACATCTTCAGATGAACGCAGAAGAAGAAGAAGTTCCAACAGATTTATAGTTTAACAGATAAAAAGAGAGGCAGATCCATCAGGATGGATAGACAACAAAAATAACACTGATATTTAAATGAGAATGATATGTATATGACATGATCAACATCTTGGACAACATGGGCTCCAGAGGAAACTCTGCCATCTGTGGATCACACACAAGGGTTTGGTCACAAGTTAGTTAACAAGAAACTGCCTCTCAACCTGGGGGAAGGCAGCGGATGTGGTCTGTATGGTCAAATCGTCTGCCTCTCATTGCTGGGGAGGGGATCTCTGCGGTCAAACTATCTCTCATTCCTAAGGGTCTCTGCAGTCAAGTGGTCAGACTGTCTGATGGGGGAGGGAGGTCTTTGAGAACAAGGGCCAGACTGTCTCACAACTGCATGCAGATCCCTGGTTGACAGTCATCGAAGCTACAGAGTTTGTGCATTGTGTGATGCTCTAGAACAGTGGTTCTCAACCTTCCTATTCCAGCAACACTTAAAACAGTTCTTCATGTTGTGGCGACCCTTTAATACAGCTCTCTTGTGGCGACCTCCTACCATACCCTTATTTTCGTCGCTACTTGATAACTTTGATGAATATGTGTTTGCGATGGTCTTTGGCGATCTCTGTGAAAGGGTCGTTTGACCCAAAAAATGGTTGTGACCCATAGGTTGAGAACTGCTGCTCTAGAAGGTGCTCGTCTTTCTGAGAGTCCGAACCATGAGGATTACTATCCGGTGCACTGAAGTCGATTCCTTTGACTTTAAGTATTATACATTTCTCGCAATAATCTTTTTTTTTACTTCTGATCTTTTGTCAACAAGATTTTCCCCAATTCCTCTCTACTCACCATATGACCAAAGTATGTTGTTTATTATAAGCTTTAATTATGTTTGAAAATGTGTGTCTGAATGGCCGTCTGCGTTCCCAATTTGTTTTGTTAAAGTTGTGTAAAATTTCGACTCTCATTAGCTTGGGGGGGGGGGGGGGGGGTGTCTAGAAACTGTTCACATCAGTAAAAAGCCTGTTAAAATTTAGCACCACAAATAAATTGAGAACAAAATGAAAATAAAAACAAAATCTGTACATACTCTTCTTCCCAGCCTTGTCAAAAGACCCTCATCGTCAAGCGCACTGAGAGCATGAAGCTGTTCCATCGCAGAGATAAGCGTCTGCATCGGCGGAGCATCCATGAAGTCAAAGGCCAATAGGTCATTGATGCCCATGGCTTTCAAACTCAGCACGGTGGATGCCAGGTTGGTCCGCTGAATTTCAGGTACATTGGTAGCCAACATTTCATCCCGGTAAGCTCGTTCAGTGTATAGACGGTAACATTTACCTGGCCCAGTCCGCCCGGCACGACCTGCTCTCTGCTTTGCTTGAGCCTATGGATTAAAATATAAATTGTTTTCTAAAATCATTTATTGGAAACTAGAGAAATAAAACAAAGATTGGTGTATGCTGTGAAATCATATCGTCTGTTTAAACCTAACAAATGTGTATCTATTTGTAGGATGGCGACATCTGAGAAAGATCTATCTTCAAATAAAGATCACATATTCATTGGCTCTAGGTACCTAAATAAAGATCCGGATGCATCATTACGCTGTTGGAATCCCTCAAGCCTATGGAGGAAACATTACCAACCTTGGCAACCAGTCAGTCCTAATGCTGCACTCAATCACGATTTCATATACCCTAAAACAGTCCAAATGCTGCACTCAATCACGATTTCATATACCCTAAAACAGTCCCAATGCTGCACTCAATCACGATTTCATATACCCTAAAACAGTCCCAATGCTGCACTCAATCACGATTTCATATACCCTAAAACAGTCCTAATGCTGCACTCAATCACGATTTCATATACCCTAAAACAGTCCCAATCCTGCACTCAATCACGATTTCATATACCCTAAAACAGTCCAAATCCTGCACTCAATCACTATTTCATATACCCTAAAACAGTCCCAATCCTGCACTCAATCACTATTTCATATACCCTAAAACAGTCCTAATGCTGCACTCAATCATGATTTCATATACCCTAAAACAGTCCCAATCCTGCACTCAATCATGATTTCATATACCCTAAAACAGTCCCAATCCTGCACTCAATCACGATTTCATATACCCTAAAACAGTCCCAATTCTGCATTCAATCACTATTTCATATACCCTAAAACAGTCCCAATCCTGCACTCAATCACGATTTCATATACCCTAAAACAGTCCAAATGCTGCACTCAATCACGATTTCATATACCCTAAAACAGTCCTAATGCTGCACTCAATCACGATTTCATATACCCTAAAACAGTCCCAATCCTGCACTCAATCACGATTTCATATACCCTAAAACAGTCCCAATCCTGCACTCAATCACTATTTTATATACCCTAAAACAGTCCCAAATGCTGCACTCAATCACGATTTCATATACCCTAAAACAGTCCTAATGCTGCACTCAATCACGATTTCATATACCCTAAAACAGTCCCAATCCTGCACTCAATCACGATTTCATATACCCTAAAACAGTCCCAATGCTGCACTCAATCACGATTTCATATACCCTAAAACAGTCCCAATCCTGCACTCAATCACGATTTCATATACCCTAAAACAGTCCTAATGCTGCACTCAATCACGATTTCATATACCCTAAAACAGTCCCAATCCTGCACTCAATCACGATTTCATATACCCTAAAACAGTCCCAATCCTGCACTCAATCACTATTTCATATACCCTAAAACAGTCCAAATCCTGCACTCAATCACTATTTCATATACCCTAAAACAGTCCCAATCCTGCACTCAATCACTATTTCATATACCCTAAAACAGTCCTAATGCTGCACTCAATCATGATTTCATATACCCTAAAACAGTCCCAATCCTGCACTCAATCATGATTTCATATACCCTAAAACAGTCCCAATCCTGCACTCAATCACGATTTCATATACCCTAAAACAGTCCCAATTCTGCATTCAATCACTATTTCATATACCCTAAAACAGTCCCAATCCTGCACTCAATCACGATTTCATATACCCTAAAACAGTCCAAATGCTGCACTCAATCACGATTTCATATACCCTAAAACAGTCCTAATGCTGCACTCAATCACGATTTCATATACCCTAAAACAGTCCCAATCCTGCACTCAATCACGATTTCATATACCCTAAAACAGTCCCAATTCTGCATTCAATCACTATTTCATATACCCTAAAACAGTCCCAATCCTGCACTCAATCACGATTTCATATACCCTAAAACAGTCCAAATGCTGCACTCAATCACGATTTCATATACCCTAAAACAGTCCTAATGCTGCACTCAATCATGATTTCATATACCCTAAAACAGTCCCAATCCTGCACTCAATCATGATTTCATATACCCTAAAACAGTCCCAATCCTGCACTCAATCACGATTTCATATACCCTAAAACAGTCCCAATTCTGCATTCAATCACTATTTCATATACCCTAAAACAGTCCCAATCCTGCACTCAATCACGATTTCATATACCCTAAAACAGTCCAAATGCTGCACTCAATCACGATTTCATATACCCTAAAACAGTCCTAATGCTGCACTCAATCACGATTTCATATACCCTAAAACAGTCCCAATCCTGCACTCAATCACGATTTCATATACCCTAAAACAGTCCCAATGCTGCACTCAATCACGATTTCATATACCCTAAAACAGTCCCAATCCTGCACTCAATCACGATTTCATATACCCTAAAACAGTCCCAATCCTGCACTCAATCACTATTTCATATACCCTAAAACAGTCCCAATCCTGCACTCAATCACGATTTCATATACCCTAAAACAGTCCCAATGCTGCACTCAATCACGATTTCATATACCCTAAAACAGTCCCAATCCTGCACTCAATCACTATTTCATATACCCTAAAACAGTCCCAATCCTGCACTCAATCACTATTTCCTATACCCTAAAACAGTCCTAATGCTGCACTCAATCATAACCCTGATACGCCCTCTGCAGGTGTGAGGTTCCAGTAGCAGCTATGCACACCCTAGCAGTTTTCTTAGCCTCAAGAGGGGATACAAAGCTCTGCAACACAGTTCCTGTGATGGTACATTAACAGAGGATCGGGAGAAAAGTCACTGCATGAACATCACTCTGATAGATGCAAGTCCTTATCAGGACTGACAAGACACATGAATACCAGTGTATCAATTCTTTGTGAGGATTCACAACCAAACGAAGCAAGGACACACATACCTGAGAGATTGGTGTCACAATCAACTGGTCCATGCCGGTTTTAGAGTTGTAGACATTTTGTTTGACAAAGCCGGGATCGACCACGTAATAAATGCCGTCGATGGTCAGTGAGGTCTCAGCAATGTTGGTGGCTATAATGACCTGTCCAAGGACAAGCAACAAGGGAGTTAACAAACTAAATCAAGCAGAAGGGAAACTTTTTTGTTTGTTTTAAATTAAGTGACAAACGACATCCAATCTTCACAGTTAGCCATTGATCTTCGTGTATTCATTCTCCGACTGTGGCAGTGGATTTATCATTACAAACAGAAACTGGATGCCCCAGCCTACTTCAACATTAATTGTTGCCACAGGTAACTTTTACTAACTATACAACATGGCTGCTTGTCATAAATGAATGGTGCCTGTTTGGATAAAATGCTTCGCTGTATGGATGACACTTTTGTCGTGACCATAATCAAATCAGTTCCATTATTTAATCCCCATACTCTCTCTCTCGTGTGTGTGTATGTGTGCATGAGGACCAGGTGGGGGAAGGGGTGAATACACTACACATCATGGTTAGAGCCTGATATGGACAAAGATTTTAGTATTTTAGACAAAGATGCCCACTACACAACTTTAGGTGACTGATATAGACATAAATATAAAATATAATACAGTCAAAACTTGCACCAGAAAATACTCTGAATAGGCATCAAGATGTAGTTTCAGAACAACACAACGATGAAGGTCATCTCACCTCAATTAATACTGACACATGCAATACAGCCCTGAAACAGAACCTGCACCCGCTGGGTCTCAGGGCCCTGTGTTTGTACATGTTGTACAAGTTGATTCCTCCTAGAGGTCAGAGTGCATCTGCTTCAGGGGTGAGCAACCAACAGTCTGCATATAAATAAGCCAGATCTGCAAAATGGATATGCACAAAAAACTCAAGTTCTGTAACAAGAATGAAGTCCAGAAGTGGACAAACAATGAGACTAGAGTTTACAGCCGGTGAATACTAGGAAGTAGAGGAAACAGAAAGCACCATAATGGGTTTCCTTTGCCATTACTGTAGAATATCACGGTCAAGCTGAAAAACAACAACCCTGAGAACCCACCTTTCTAGACCCAGGTGGAGCAGGCTCAAAAATTCTGGTCTGCATTTCTGACGGCAAGGCACTGTACACAGGAAGTATGATCAATTCTGGAACTTCTGGTCCTAAAGCCTTCATACGTTCATAGAGAATCTCACAGGCCGTATCAATCTCTTCTTGACCAGTCAGAAACAGAAGAACGTCACCTGTTGTTGGGAGCAAGTAAAGCAGGGTCAAAAACAGATCCTTTTTTTTTTCTTTAAATTTATTCAGGTATATTATGTTTATAGCAAAAGTTGACTGTTTTTTTATAGACCAAATAAGACTTGATAGGTGCTGTGGCCTATATCATTTGGTCAACTTTTATTTGTCAAAACATTTCCTGACGTGAAGTTTGTGATTTCTGCAATATTCTTGCAGGTGACCAGGCACTGTGCAGACAGACACCAAGCCATATCGAATCAAACCTGGCACAATGAAGTAGATCCTCCCGTCTGTAAAACATTGTCTCATCATTAACATTTGAATCAAATAATTCACTCTTTCAGTCCCAAAGTGGTTAACCGCAGATTTCCAAAGCAAAAATAACCACTTGACGCAACCATAACCGGTGGAGAGTGTAAAAAAAAAATCTGCTCCACTTATTATTACTAGAAAGCCTTGTGTCATGGGGCCGAACCCGGCTCATATAACTCCAACTCGTGATTTAAAGCGCTAAATACATCAATCAAATATATTTTTGTGAATGCAGTAGTTTACCAGGTGGCTCTGTGAGGTGGATCTGCATGACTGTGATCAGTGAGGCGTCCAGGTAGTCGGTCTCAGCTTCTTTTGTGTAAAGGATGGCTACGGGATACGTGCGACCAGGAATTGTGAATATGGGCTGAAAACAAGGGGAAAAGTAATCATTTTGAGGAATGAATTAGTCTGTGACAACATGTTAAAAAGATTTAAAAGAGAGCAGGTGGCTGAGGGATAAGAATGTCTGCCTCACACATCATAGGCTGTTCATTAAGTGATGTGACTATTTGGGCAAATGATTTTTATTTCCCAGGCAGAAATAAACTTGTTCACCGTATACCACCAATGTTATGAATGTCATAATGAAAATAAACTCCAAAGAAATGTTTTAAAAAACAAAAATGATCAAGTGAAGGGTTAGATCATCGCCTCGCTCATTTTTTTCTTCTTTTGGCACTATAATATTAAACTATTAAACTAGTTATTTCTTTTATGACAATTAAAAAACAGCATATTAAGGTACACAATGAAATAAGTTATATAAGAGTTGAAAGCAAGCAATAAGAGGAGGTATGAAACAAGGAAGCAGCCAAGAGAAGGTAAAGATCAAAGTAGGCATACAAAAGGAGTATTTACACACCAAGATAAGGCAAGCCAACAGGTATAATGTCAGAATTAGCTACGTAGCTGTTAATTTTTGTACACAACAAATACAGCACATCAGGGAGAGCTACACAACAGAGGGAGCCGACATGATAATGTATAAGGTAGACTAAAACATATACATTATGAAGACACAGAAGTTTAAAATATATTTTAAAAAAAGGAGACACAGCTAGGAAACATACAATAAAAGATAAATCATAATGGTTAAGAGAAGAGGTATAACACAAGAGACCAGAAAATGGACAAACAGACATGAGGACTTGATCCATAAAAACATGACAAGCAAACACTTACAGCTTCGTAGAAATACTGAGAGAACTTGACAGCGTCCAGTGTTGCTGATGTGACTATCAATTTTAAGTCCTGTCGTTTCTTGACAGCCTGTTGAAGCATATGAGTTTTGTCATCAAGATTTACATTAACACTAATATGGTATTTGTGCAATCTATTACTACTAACATTTACAAGCAGTGGTTGCTAGGTATGACAATCACTCCTCTCTCTAAAATATATGCCACTAATATGGCAACCCTACAAAAACACAAGATTTGATTTGATTTTGATATGATTCAAGAACCGTCTCCATCCTCAGCAGCCAGCAAAGAGTTCCGATAATAATAGTAGCAGTAGCATTCTGATGAAACGTCCGTCTTGCCATTTCTCTGAATCTGGAGCATTGGCGAGAATCCCTCGTCACTCCCAGCTGCATCAATCTCACCAGACTGTGGTGATCCATCTGCTCCTCCGAATTGTACATGCTCTTCTTGAAGGCACTAACCATGCCTGCCCTATCATGCATCAGTATCCCACCAAGAGCCAGCAAGTCTGTCCACCTGTTCATTTCCCAACACACTGGCTTCACCCATTGACAAAATCCAGTCAATACTCATCACCCGTGTCCTCCGCACTGAAGCTTGCCACTCTGCACAAGGCATGCCTGTCCTGACATTCCTCAGCATGCTTTCTGAGTCAGTTACAATCATGATGTATGTGTGCGTGTCGTGTTCTCTAACCAGGGAAAGCTGTAGTGACCGCCTCCACCTCCAGTCAAGAACACAAAACACAAGAGAATTTAATGAATTAATACAATAGGGAAAACTGCTTGAGGGACAACATACGAACAGGGCAAGAGATAAACAGGAAATACTTGGAAACAAACCACAGGTGAAATTATGGAAGAGCTTCTGTCTATTTTTGGAGAAATTCACTGCATGAAATATTATACTGACCTGTTTGAGTAAACCAAAGAGAACATCTGTGTGAATGGTTCTCTCGTGGGCTTCATCCAGCATAATGACTGCATACTGTGTCAGATCGCCATCAATCAAACACTCCCTGAGCAACATACCATCCGTCATGTACTTGATTTTTGTCTCAGCACTGGTGCAGTCTTCAAAACGGATAGTGTAGCCAACCTGGCAAAAAGACCATAGTTCATCGGTCACAAACCATGTCATGAACAAAATGCAGCCTTCAATGTGAATCATAAACCATTTCAAGAACAAAATGTAGCCTTCAATGTGAATCATAAACCATTTCAAGAACAAAATGTAGCCTTCAATGTGAATCATAAACCATTTCAAGAACAAAATGTAGCCTTCAATGTGAATCATAAACCATTTCAAGAACAAAATGTAGCCTTCAATGTGAATCATAAACCATTTCAAGAACAAATTGTAGCCTTCAATGAGAATCATAAACCATTTCAAGAACAAAATGTAGCTTTCAATGAGAATCATAAACCATTTCAAGAACAAAATGTAGCCTTCAATGAGAATCATAAACCATTTCAAGGACAAAATGTAGCTTTCAATGAGAATCATAAACCATTTCAAGAACAAAATGTAGCCTTTAATGAGAATCATAAACCATTTCAAGAACAAAATGTAGCCTTTAATGAGAATCATAAACCATTTCAAGAACAAAATGTAGCTTTCAATGAGAATCATAAACCATTTCAAGAACAAAATGTAGCCTTTAATGAGAATCATAAACCATTTCAAGAACAAAATGTAGCCTTTAATGAGAATCATAAACCATTTCAAGAACAAAATGTAGCTTTCAATGAGAATCATAAACCATTTCAAGAACAAAATGTAGCCTTTAATGAGAATCATAAACCATTTCAAGAACAAAATGTAGCCTTTAATGAGAATCATAAACCATTTCAAGAACAAAATGTAGCCTTCAATGTGAATCATAAACCAAGGAATCATTAGCCACTTTCATGTACCCATTAAGGTGTATCACAAATAAGTAATGAAAAAAAATGGAGCTTGCACCAATGCAATCATAATTTTGAATGCTTGCCACCATATAACTATTGTGACTTTTACAATAAATGTAGTTGAAGCCGTTAGTCAATTTATTTCTCTCTGTTTCTCTAAGGTAAACAACTCTGTAGTACTCAAGGTAAATTTTAACGAATCGCACCCCTAGTCAACAACGTCAGACGACTGTTTTTAATAAAGGCGTCACAGACTGGCGGTGGCAACATTTTTGCGGATAATTCTGGTGCTGCAGGTGATTTTTTTTAACCAGAAAGTGAAGGTGAAGAATTTCTGGACTGTCTGATGACTGTGACTTTGACCATTCTTACAAACTCCCATCACAAACATTGTGGAAACTGCAAGAAAGGACGATATGTCGCTGCAACGGTAAGTGTAAGCAAAGGACAAAACCATTTTCACCACCATTTCAGAGAACGACGTGTGAGAGGAACATAAGCTTTGCACTGGTCCCTGATGTCAACTCCTGACTTATGGGAATAATTACTGATGGCTTCAGGTTTGATCTGTTTTCTACTTCTAGTCTGAAATTTGAGCATCATATCAAAGAAGGCTGTCAAGTCTGATAATCAGACTGATTGCTTGCACAGCGTTCACTTCAGTACAGCAAGGTTCCAATGCCTTCTAAACTGTTTCTCCTGGACAACTTTTGCCTTTTTTTTTCACCAATTCCCAGCCACATGATGATAGTGAAAAACTAGACATGCATTCTTTGTTCAATTTGGTGCAAAAGTAGCAAATATTATCAGTTTATGTTCAATAGCAGTGAAGTCTGGCATTTTTAGTTTACACTAAAAATACGTGGTAACTGGGAAAGGGCAAGGGTTAATTGGCTTCATAGTAGGTGGGTTATGGTGCATCATAAACCACTGTCATAAACTAAATGGAGCCATTAAGGTGCATTGCAGACACTGTCATAAACTAAATGGAGCCATTAAGGTGCATCATAAACCACTGTCATAAACAAAATGGAGCCATTAAGGTGCATTGCTGACACTGTCATAAACTAAATGGAGCCATTTTGGTGCATTGCTGACACTGTCATAAACTAAATGGAGCCATTTTGGTGCATTGCTGACACTGTCATAAACTAAATGGAGCCATTATGGTGCATTGCTGACACTGTCAAACTAAATGTAGCCATTAAGGTGCATCATAAACCACTGTCATAAACAAAATGGAGCCATTAAGGTGCATTGCTGACACTGTCATAAACTAAATGGAGCCATTTTGGTGCATTGCTGACACTGTCATGAACTAAATGGTGCCATTATGGTGCATTGCTGACACTGTCAAACTAAATGTAGCCAATAAGGTGCATCATAAACTACTGTCATAAACAAAATGGAGCCATTATGGTGCATTGCTGACACTGTCATAAACTGAATGGAGCCATTATGGTGCATTGCTGACACTGTCAAACTAAATGGAGCCATTATGGTGCATCATAAACTACTGTCATAAACAAAATGGAGCCATTATGGTGCATCATAAACTACTGTCATAAACAAAATGGAGCCATTATGGTGCATTATAAACTACTGTCATAAACAAAACGGAGCCATTATGGTGCATTATAAACTACTGTCATAAACAAAATGGAGCCATTATGGTGCATCATAAACTACTGTCATAAACAAAATGGAGCCATTATGGTGCATCATAAACTACTGTCATAAACAAAATGGAGCCATTATGGTGCATCATAAACTACTGTCATAAACAAAATGGAGCCATTAAGGTGCATCACAAACCACTGTCACAAGCTAAATGGAGCCATTAAGATGTATCACAAACTAAATGGAACCATAAAGAAGTATCCCAAAGGGCATGTCGCCTAGTCTCGCCAGAGCAGGTAATACCTTAACAATTAACTCTATAGGAAGAAGTCTAATCTTCTTATTTCATACATTTCTAATCACATCTGATAAATCTGTAATCTCAAATTATAACTCTCCAATATTCTCATCTTACAAATGTCTAATTTCATCATTAATCTCCCAAATCACTCCAACAACTAGAATTACATCAGGAGTTTACGGTCACAAGGGAAATAATCTTACAAATAGGCAATCATCACCACAACCACACTCGTTAAAGAATTAGCTAATAAAAATTACCTCCTGGCCCAAACGACAACCAAACTCTTCAGAAACTCTCTTGGCCACAGACATGGCGGCCACTCGTCTGGGCTGTGTGCAGCCGATCTTTCCTCGGGTGGTGTAGCCAGCCTCGGCCAGGTACTGGGTCATCTGAGTTGTTTTCCCTGATCCCGTCTCTCCAATAACAATGAGAATCTGGTTGTCACTAACAGCCTGCAAACACAACAGGGACATTTATGTCTGAATGCGCCACATGTTAAAAAATATCCGACCCATCTAGCAGAGAGCTGTTGAGTAGATCTGAGACATTATGTGGCAGCTGCAGTGGACTTTTGTGGAAGAATGACAAAGAATCTATCAGCCAAGCCACCAAAGAAGCACAAGACAAATACAGAAAACCAAGACACTGGGCTACAACCTGGTAACATGAAAGAAGAAGCAGATGACAGACAGGTTTAATAAAAAGCATAAAGAAGATGTCTTCTCCCTATGAGAACTATTTTTTGCTTAAGAAGCTGATAATAAAAAATCGTGGGGGCCTGTCATAAAAAGCAGAAAACAAGTAAATCATGCAGGAAGAAAGTTCTTTAATAAAAGTGACTGTCCGGCATCATTGCGTAGCTAACCAGATACATATCAGAGATGATCTGCAGTACCTAAGGAAAAAACGAGACGACATACGTGATGACCATCACACAGTTGGCACTACAAGATTAAAATGTGCAAGCAAGTGAATTAAGTCAAGGGCCTATTTCCACATACTCAAGCTGCTGGCATATTCTGAAGGTGTTTGCACAGACTGAAGCTGTTTGCACATACTGAAGCTGTTTGCAGCACATACTGAAGCTGTTTGCATATTCTGAAGCTGTTTCCACATACTGAAGGTGTTTCCACATACTGAAGGTGTTTCCACATACTGAAGGTGTTTCCACATACTGAAGGTGTTTCCACATACTGAAGCTGTTTTCACATACTGAAGGTGTTTCCACATACTGAAGGTGTTTCCACATACTCAAGCTTCTTCTTCCTCTTCTTCTTTTGTCAAAATCTGCTTGTGCCGCTAGGCGTCGCAGTCTATCAGATGATTGGCAACCGAGCCAGGGCGCGCTCAGCCGCTTCATATGCCATGATGTTATGAAGTCTCAAGTTGTCAGTGACTCCTTCAATCCATCTTCTTCTTGGTCTTCCCCTGCCTCTTGGTGTTTCGATTTTCATGTTGTATGCTCTTGATGCTGGCATCGTTGGTTCCATTCTCATTAGGTGACCAAACCATTTCATTCTTTGCTTCTCAATAAATTTAACGATGGGTATGGTTCCAATAGTTCTTGTAATCACATTGTTTCTCACTCTATCTCTTCTGGTTTTATTCGCAGCCATTCTCAAACATCTCATTTCACAGGTGGTTAGTCTTCTCTCGTGTTCTTTTGTTAATGTCCAAGTCTGACATTGATAACCTAATGTCGGTATAAAGATTGTATTTATAATTTGTCTTTTTATCTCAGCTGGGACAGCAGGGTGTTTTAAAATTGGGGCAAGCTGGTATGCGACATTGTTGGCTTGTTGGATTCTTGCTTCGATCTCTCTGTCTATTTTACCATTGGATGTAAAGATACTTCCCAAGTATTTAAATTCTTGCACTTGTTTTAGGCTGTGATCTAGAATCTTTATGTCGATGGTCTGTTGCTCTCTACTTATGCTCATGACTTCTGTCTTTTCAGTATTGATCTTCATATGATGCTTGAGGCAACTGTCGTGTAGTAGGTTTATGTGGTCTTGCAGCTGTTTACTATCACTGTGAAATATGCATTGATCGTCGGCAAAGAGCAGCTCTTTGAAGTTCTCCTGTTTATCGACATTTGTTGGTGTTATGTCTATTTTATTATTATTGTCCATAAATATTATGAAAAGTAAAGGTGAAAATACTCAAGCTGTTTGCACATAATATAGGGCGAGACCTATATTCCATGAAATGATGTCAAAAAAAAAAAAATATAAAAAAGGAGACTAGAGAAGGTAAGAATGTTAGATGAGCCTGTGTGCACAATTCTCAACCCTTTTAAAATAAAGTTTGTTTGTTCGCTGGTTCGTTCCATAGATAAATCGGCACTCTCTGTGTGATGGGGTCAACAAAGGCTGGGTCAAGCTACTAGAGTTCCCACAACATATCTGATGAAGAAGACTAAGCATCTAAGAGTTCGTTAAGAGTGTAATGACATTAGATCTGCACACAAACATGAGAAACATCACAAACAGAAAAAGTGACTCTAGGTGTTAATACCTTCAATAGATCTTCTTTGAGCTTGTATATAGGTAAACTCTGACGCTGCTCTAGGATAGACTTCTTCTCTTTCTTGCCATATGAGGCTTTGGCCCCTCCACTGATGTGTTTCTTCCACTCTGGTTCCTCTTTCGGTGCCATGCCGACTCCTCTCATATTGGCTGCAAGTGTCCTACCTCCATCTGGTTGCCAAAAGAAAAGCAGTCTTATTAAAAACAGTCAAATCAATGATACTTCTTATCATGATCAGCACACAGTTTCTCTCAAATATCTCCTATAGCAACTAGAAAGGTCTGGGTGATTAGGCTGGCTGGTTGTTGTCAACCCTCACCAAAGAATCAAGGTAAATTTTTCAGAAGGATGCAATACTGTTCAAGTTGTCTAATCCTGAAAAGGGCTTATACTAAGTGGTATAAGATTTATGTAGATACATTTTTTTCTGGCCCAGTACTAAAGTATCATCTTCTAAGGAATTGTGTTGCAGAGTTCTCATTTCCCTCTCCAAGATCATAATCTGGTTATGTAATACGGGTATGAGAAACTTCAAATGTACAAAGGTGTACAACAGGATTTAGCCAGGACAACATAGTACACAGCTGAGTCTGGGTCAGTTATGTTTCTTCTGCATATTTTGGGTGTGTTTCACCATCCAAAGCATTCAACCCAATGCCTAGTGGGAGACACAGATGGTATTATGTGGGCAGCATTCAACCCAATGCCTAGTGGGAGACACAGTTGGTATTATGTGGGCAGCATTCAACCCAATGCCTAATGGGAGACACAGATGGTATTATGTGAGCAGCATTCAACCCAATGCCTAGTGAGAGACACAGATGGTATTATGTGAGCAGCAAGAAGACCAACAAATGAAACCATTCAGCTTACAGTGGATTATAAGCTGACAATAGAACAGTCTTTTCAGTGACAACTACACAATGTCAATGTTAGCTGTTTTGAAGAACTTTCTATGCTTCTAATGTACACAAACACACACATAAACATAGATTTTATGAAATCACAACACCTCCGTTTCCCATTTTCCCAACAGATCACATCATCTTTGTTCCATGTGAACCCTATTGGTAACCCAGACATTATGTCTGGCAGCTCCCTACAAAACTCACTCTTAGAACTGAGACAAGATCTAAATTTGAAAAGACAACAATGGACAGATCTACAGACATGACACTTCAGCTGTCATCTGATGTGAAGAGAATCAATGATTACCTTCAGGCATGGGGTCAATCCAGTCATTGTTAATCCCAGTAGGCAGAGAGTTGGCTTCTGCTTCTCTTTGAGCCTGCTTCATCTCCCGCCGCTCTTTCTGCAAGGCATTCCCCATCATGGCTGCTTGTGCAAGAGACCCATCAGGATTCTGGAATACATTTCTTCAGCTAAAATACCGCTTATGTCATCACAAAAACATGGATAGCAGAGCATACAGGACGCTATCTACCCCACAAACATGCATAAGTATTAATCTTCAAGACTGAAAGAATTACAGATATCATAAATCAAAGCAGTGAGGTGTCTCTTTCCCTCCGTCAGCCTTCAATGCAGTATCAGACAGGGTGGTGTACCCAATCAACCTCCAGTATCACAGGGTGGTGTACCCAATCAGCTCCCAGTATCAGACAGGGTGGAGTACCCAATCAGCTCCCAGTATCACAGGGTGATGTACCCAATCAGCTCCCAGTATCACAGGGTGATGTACCCAATCAGCTCCCAGTATCAGACAGGGTGGTGTACCCAATCAACCTCCAGTATCACAGGGTGATGTACCCAATCAGCTCCCAGTATCAGACAGGGTGGTGTACCCAATCAACCTCCAGTATCACAGGGTGATGTACCCAATCAGCTCCCAGTATCAGACAGGGTAATGTACCCAATCAACCTCCAGTATCACAGGGTGATGTACCCAATCAGCTCCCAGTATCAGACAGGGTGGTGTACCCAATCAACCTCCCAGTATCAGACAGGGTGATGTACCCAATCAACCCCCAGTATCAGACAGGGTGATGTACCCAATCAGCTCCCAGTATCAGACAGGGTGGTGTACCCTATCAGCTCCCAGTATCAGACAGGGTGATGTACCCAATCAGCTCCCAGTATCAGACAGGGTGGTATTCCCAATCAGCTCCCAGTATCAGACAGGGTGATGTACCCAATCAACCCCCAGTATCAGACAGGGTGGTGTACCCAATCAGCTACCAGTATCAGACAGGGTGGTGTACCCTATCAGCTCCCAATATCAGACAGGGTGGTGTACCCAATCAGCTCCCAGTATCAGACAGGGTGGTGTACCCTATCAGCTCCCAGTATCAGACAGGGTGATGTACCCAATCAGCTCCCAGTATCAGACAGGGCGATGTACCTAATCAGCTCCCAGTATCACAGGGTGATGTACCCAATCAGCTCCCAGTATCAGACAGGGTGGTGTACCCAATCAGCTCCCAGTATCACAGTGTGATGTACCCAATCAGCTCCCAGTATCATACAGGGTGGTGAACCCAATCAGCTCCCAGTATCAGACAGGGTGATGTACCCTATCAGCTCCCAGTATCAGACAAGGTGGTGTACCCAATCAGCTCTCAGTATCAGACAGGGTGGTGTACCCTATCAGCTCCCAATATCAGACAGGGTGGTGTACCCAATCAGCTCCCAGTATCAGACAGGGTGGTGTACCCTATCAGCTCCCAGTATCAGACAGGGTGATGTACCCAATCAGCTCCCAGTATCAGACAGGGTGGTGTACCTAATCAGCTCCCAGTATCACAGGGTGATGTACCCAATCAGCTCCCAGTATCAGACAGGGTGGTGTACCCATCAGCTCCCAGTATCAGACAGGGTGATGTACCCTATCAGCTCCCAGTATCAGACAAGGTGGTGTACCCAATCAGCTCTCAGTATCAGACAGGGTGGTGTACCCAATCAACCTCCAGTATCAGACAGGGTGATGTACCCTATCAGCTCCCAGTATCAGACAAGGTGGTGTACCCAATCAGCTCTCAGTATCAGACAGGGTGGTGTACCCAATCAACCTCCAGTATCAGACAGGGTGATGTACCCTATCAGCTCCCAGTATCAGACAGGGTGGTGTACCCAATCAGCTCCCAGTATCAGACTAGGTGGTGTACCCAATCAGCTCTCAGTATCAGACAGGGTGATGTACCCAATCAGCTCCCAGTATCAGACAGGGTGATGTACCCAATCAGCTCCCAGTATCAGACAGGGTGATGTACCCTATCAGCTCTCAGTATCAGACAGGGTGATGTACCCAATCAGCTCCCAGTATCAGACAGGGTGGTGTACCCAATCAGCTCTCAGTATCAGACAGGGTGATGTACCCTATCAGCTCCCAGTATCAGACAAGGTGGTGTACCCAATTACCTCCCAGTATCACAGGGTGGTGTACCCAGTCAGCTCCCAGTATCAAAAGGTGGTGTACCCAGTCAACCTCAGGAGAGAATGTTGTTTACAAGTCAAAACTAAAGAGGTATTTGTGTCTGTATGTCTAATGACATAAGACTATACTGGGAGTGTCAATTAAAATCTATGAAAATTATTAAATTACTATAGGGATTTTACATGTGTGTGAAGCCTGGACACTTATACATGTGTGTGAAGCCTGGACACTGATACATGTGTGTGAAGCCTGGACACTGATACATGTGTGTGAAGCCTGGACACTGATACATGTGTGTGAAGCCTGGACACTGATACATGTGTGTGAAGCCTGGACACTGATACATGTGTGTGAAGCCTGGACACTGAATACAAGAAAAATACCAGTGGTCACTGAGATATGGAACCTGCAAAGGATGCTAGAAAGCTCATGAACAGGTAAGAGGAGAGTGAATGTCCTTTAGAGGCAAACTTATTATGTTTACCTATGTCTGAAGTGGAAGTGTCTAGGTGTTTATTACTCAGTTTCAGAGCCTCTTAGCTGCATGTCAAAACTATTATCAGGTGCACTTATAGTCATCAGCTCTGAACTCTATTCCCTATGCACACAGCCATAACACAGTATACACATTCAGACAAACAGACAGCACACATAAACATCTATTCTTCACCCATCAGAAAAATCTTTAACAGCACTGGGTCAAACCAGCTACAAATATATCAGTTAAGGTTTGAACCCAGCACCCTTCAATCCAATCTGTATTGCTGGAATGTGAAATGTTGATGATTAATTTATATTGTATCACATCTTTGAGGATGTGGTGATAAGTTTTCCTTTGTTTTTGTTGTTGTTGCTATCGAACTGAGAAGAAAGTTACATGTTTTGATGAAAAGCTCATTGTGTTGAATGTGTAGGAAGACCAGCAACAAATGGCCTACCTTGACAATCTTGACTGGGCTCAGCTCCACCCAGTGTCGACCATGGCCTTGTAAGAATGGTGGCTCTTCCTCTACCATCTCCACCTCAACATCTTCATCTAGGGAAGATAAAAATTAAATCAAGAGCTATAGCTTTTAGTATATAATATCAGTCTAATATCTTCTGTGGCTGGCAAGACATCTAGGCCAATATTGTTAATAATAAATACAAGAATTATCTCTATTTTCCTAGAACTTTAGAAGTTATAACAAACTTTCTTCTACCAAACCAGACATCCTTAGAGGTAATAAATCATGTTTTACAAACACAGACATCTCTAGAAGTAATAACAGACTAGCAGGTATAGATACATTCATAGAAACAATAACATACTACCAGGTATAGAGACATTCCTAGAAACAATAACAGACTAGCATGTTTAGAGACATTCATAGAAACAATAACAGACTAGCAGGTATAGATAGAGACATTCCTAGAAACAATAACAGACTAGCAGGTATAGATAGAGACATTCCTAGAAACAATAACAGACTACCAGGTTTAGAGACATTCATAGAAACAATAACAGACTAGCAGGTATAGATAGAGACATTCCTAGAAACAATAACAGACTAGCAGGTATAGAGACATTCCTAGAAACAATAACAGACTAGCAGGTATAGATAGAGACATTACTAGAAACAATAACAGACTAGCAGGTAGACAGACATTCCTAGAATCAAAAACAGACTACTGGGTATAGAGATATTCCTAGAAGCAATAACAGACTACCGGGAAGACAGACATTACTAGAAGCAATAACAGACCCAAGCAGACATTTACAGAAAATACAATAAAACACCAGTTAAAAAAATACATTCATATCCTTACCTGAATCATCTTCCTTTGGCAGCAATCCAGTTTCTTCATCAAAGTCTGGCAATGCTGTTATGTCGATACAGTTTCCTGCTATCATCTGTTTGATCTCCCATCGCTGAGGCGAGGACATGCGTTTGAAGGTTTTCATGTCCGACTTCTCGTCTTCTAGCTCCGGGGCATTGACCAGGGGCAGGGTGCTCGGCCGGTCAGGGTTACGGGCAACTGTGTCATCCTCTTTGATCTCACCACCAACACGAACATGACTAGGGTTCAGATCTTCTCCAGTTGACTGATTAACATCCTAGAATATACCACGGGGAAAAAGGATGCAATCATGATTATAAAGCAGAATAAATTAAATTCTGTAGTTTTTTTTATTTTTTTATTATTACTTCCCGAAGTTTAATTTTATTAAGAACAATAATATGTTGCTTCTTTGCTTGTTTTGTGTAACTTGTACCGTTCACACATGGTTAGCATCGTATGCTTGTTTTGTAACTACAATGTGCACAACTGTTCATTTTTCATTGTCATTCTTCTCACCATCCATTCCTCTTGTTATCAGGTAACCCACTCATGATCCTGTTGTCACCACACAGCCCACCTTAGATCCTTTTGTTACCATTCAGTTTAACCCAGACCCTATTGTCACCACAGAGTCCACATTGGATCCTTTTGTTACCATTCAGTTTAACCCAGACCCTATTGTCACCACAGAGTCCACACTGGATCCTTTTGTTACCATTCAGTTTAACCCAGACCCTATTGTCACCACAGAGTCAACACTGGATCCTTTTGTTACCATTCAGTTTAACCCAGACCCTATTGTCACCACAGAGTCCACACTGGATCCTTTTGTTACCATTTGGTTCAACCCAAACCCTATTGTTACCACAGATTCCACACTGGATCCTTTTGTTACCATTCAGTTCAACTCAAGCCCCTCTTGTCACCACAAAGCCAACCTACATTCCTCTTGTCACCAAACAATCCATGTTTTAGGCACCTTTCCATAATCAGTACTGAATCAAATATCAAAACAGTTTTCTGAGAGAGCAATAGAATATGGGCAAAACCATATTTCAAGAATGTAATAGTAGTAGATGACATCAAGCTTCTGATTCCCCTTGGCACCATGACTCGTCTTAGACCTCGGTGCAAGACTGGTACATCTATGTGTCTGTTTCATACTGTGACTAAAGCCTTCTCAAACTATTTCCGAGATCTCACGATAAATGACATACCTTTATTGAAAGACTTGGCTTGTTTCCGGTAAACGACAGCACCTTTGCCTTGACCTTCTGACCTCTGCTGACCACATCACTGACATTAGTGACCCGACCTTCTCGTCTGAGCTGTAGAAGTAGGAAACAAATTGTCACAGCCAAGGGCCTAAAGGGAATATAGTGTTGCCTAAACACCAAAACAGTCGGATGTGTTGGCTGAAAGGTGCAAATATCGCATCCATGCTGTAAACGGACACAACGCAATTACATCTTTGAATGAATGCAGAAGAAGAAACACCAAAAGTTTTTTTCTCTACTTTAGTTGTTAGTCAGGCATTACCTACGGTGCCAACTTGACAGCAAACAGCACCACTGCTTCATTGTGGAAACCACACAAAATGCTTTTCACTGACCAGTAGGAAAAGAATACACAGCAGTCATGGCAAAGCCAACAACATGCACACATATGCATACAGTTGCCACCAGAAGTGCCAACACTAACAGTCTCCCACTAGAGTTGCATTTCCAAGTCTGGTTACATTACACCACAAGTCTGGTTACATTACACCACAAGTCTGGTTACATAACACCACAAGTCTGGTTACATTACACCACAAGTCTGGTTACATTACACCACAAGTCTGGTTACATTACACCACAAGTCTGGTTACATTACATCACAAGTCTGGTTACATTACACCACAAGTCTGGTTACATACATTCTGGTTACACTAAAAGTCTGGTTACATTACACTACAAGTCTGGTTTACATTACACCACAAGTCTGGTTACATTACACACACAAGTCTGGTTACATTACACTAAAAGTCTGGTTACATTACACCAAAAGTCTGGTTACATTACACCACAAGTCTGGTTACATTACACTACAAGTCTGGTTACATTACACCACAAGTCTGGTTACATTACACTAAAAGTCTGGTTACATTACACCACAAGTCTGGTTACATTACACCACAAGTCTGGTTACATTACACCACAAGTCTGGTTACATTACACCACAAGTCTGGTTACATTACACCACAAGTCTGGTTACATTACATCACAAGTCTGGTTACATTACACTACAAGTCTGGTTACATTACACTACAAGTCTGGTTACATTACACCACAAGTCTGGTTACATTACACCACAAGTCTGGTTACATTACACCACAAGTCTGGTTACATTACATCACAAGTCTGGTTATATTACACCACAAGTCTGGTTACATTACACCACAAGTCTGGTTACATTACATCACAAGTCTGGTTACATTACACCACAAGTCTGGTTACATTACATCACAAGTCTGGTTACATTACATCACAAGTCTGGTTACATTACACTACAAGTCTGGTTACATTACACTACAAGTCTGGTTACATTACACCACAAGTCTGGTTACATTACACCACAAGTCTGGTTACATTACACCACAAGTCTGGTTACATTACATCACAAGTCTGGTTACATTACACTACAAGTCTGGTTACATTACACTAAAAGTCTGGTTACATTACACCACAAGTCTAGTTACATTACACCACAAGTCTGGTTACATTACACTAAAAGTCTGGTTACATTACACCAAAAGTCTGGTTACATTACACCACAAGTCTGGTTACATTACACTACAAGTCTGGTTACATTACACCACAAGTCTGGTTACATTACACTAAAAGTCTGGTTACATTACACCACAAGTCTGGTTACATTACACCACAAGTCTGGTTACATTACACCACAAGTCTGGTTACATTACACCACAAGTCTGGTTACATTACACCACAAGTCTGGTTACATTACACCACAAGTCTAGTTACATTACACCACAAGTCTGGTTACATTACACCACAAGTCTGGTTACATTACACCACAAGTCTGGTTACATTACACCACAAGTCTGTTTACATTACACCACAAGTCTGGTTACATTACACCACAAGTCTGGTTACATTACACCACAAGTCTGGTTACATTACACTACAAGTCTGGTTACATTACACCACAAGTCTGGTTACATTACACCACAAGTCTGGTTACATTACACTACAAGTCTGGTTACATTACACCACAAGTCTGGTTACATTACACTACAAGTCTGGTTACATTACACCACAAGTCTGGTTACATTACACCACAAGTCTAGTTACATTACACTACAAGTCTAGTTACATTACACTTCAAGTCTAGTTACATTACACTACAAGTCTAGTTACATTACACTACAAGTCTGGTTACATTACACTACAAGTCTGGTTACATTACACTACAAGTCTGGTTACATTACACTACAAGTCTGGTTACATTACACTAAAAGTCTAGTTACATTACACCACAAGTCTGGTTACATTACACTACAAGTCTGGTTACATTACACTAAAAGTCTAGTTACATTACACCACAAGTCTGGTTACATTACATTACAAGTCTGGTTACATTACACTACAAGTCTGGTTACATTACACTACAAGTCTGGTTACATTACACTACAAGTCTGGTTACATTACACTACAAGTCTGGTTACATTACACTACAAGTCTGGTTACATTACATTACAACTCAGGCCACACTTTTCCCCCTAAAGCTCCGAGTTTACTTCATGCATAATGCAAATTATCTATATAATACCTGCTCAGGACAGGGAAAGGGGGGGGGGGGATTAAAAGAGCAATGATACTATTTTTTTTCTTGTGGAAAGTGTTGACATGTTTGACGGAACTGCATGCAGGGGTAACCACATTATTTTCACACTGTACTCCATTAGCTGCGACTTTATATGATAAAGACTGGGTGTGCACACTGGTGTTTTTAAAGTGTTCTGCAGAATGAACAAAACTAATCTCCATTCAGAGGGAAACTGCCACATGTTCTCATGCAAACACCAAAGTGCCTTTTTTTTCAGAGGAAACTTATGTAGTGGTTGGAGAGCATGGAAAAGAAATATACCGATTGTTTCCCCCTTACAAAAAGCTTTTTGAATAAATCAAGGTTCAAGAAAACAATACAGAAAAATATTCAGGCACATCACAGCTTTGGGTGATTCATTTGAACATTATTTTCCAACAGCCAGGAGAAGGTGTTCAATGACTTTCAATGGCTACTGAATGTGTTCAGTGTTAATTAAACAGACCAAATAAAACAAAAAATCAGCTTAAACTCAACAAAATACGTTGTCCTTATATATACGACATCTCACAGCAAACCAATGGTGGTGTTTCAAAATCAGTCTACCGACGCGTAGGCTGCGTTTACAAGATGACCTCAAAATCCCATATGTGAAATCAAAATCAAATTTAGTACTGTTACTTTTCTTATTATCAACTGAATCTGACATATGAAAACAGCAATAACAACAACAAAATACGACCACAGGTGTCTCATTAAATGTGCATTTGTTATTTTATGCCCCTTCTTTTTCTGTGTAAAATCAACTGTAATACAAATAGTCTAATTTACTGAACTGGGTAAGAACTTTATGTATGGCCAACTTTTGACAATATCATGTGTGTTTGTCCGTGGTTGTTGAGGATAAATCAACTATTATGATAAATTAAAAAAAATATTTAAAATATGATTACATTGTATGGACACTGCACAACTGTTCAACTATTTTTACTTTAAATTCACTTGCTAACTTCCATCTCTTTCTCTGCTCTTTAACATCACTTCTAAACACCATTATCTTGTAAGATATAAGGTAAGGAAGGCCTAAGGGGCTTTGCCAAAGAAACTTATTCTAAAAAGGGCTTCACAAGTCAAAATAGTTAGGAACCGCTGTCCTACGTATTTTAGGAAGGTAGCAGAGATTTACTGACTTATAGTCTAGTCCTATGTGCACAATACACCTAAAGGCATAAAAAATGGTACTTTACTATTTCACTCAGTAAATATTTACCTGTGAAATGTGAACCAGTCCCTCCCAGCGTTTACGAAGACCCTCCAGTTGGACAAAACAACCGAAAGGCAATATGGATGTCACTTTGGCCTCATAGATCTGAAAATCAAAACATTTACTTTCATGTAATGATGGAGATGTATGTATTGATAGAGTTTTATGTAATGATGGAGTTTTGTGTATTGATAAACTTTTATGTAAGCTGGTGTCAAAGGAAATAGAAAGCCACATGATGTGGCTAAACCTACAGTTACTGCCAAGATTCAAACCTAGACCTACAGCTACTGCCCAGACTCAAACCTAAACCTACAGCTACTGCCCAGACTCAAACCTAAACCTACAGCTACTGCCCAGACTCAAACCTAAACCTACAGCTACTGCCCAGACTCAAACCTAAACCTACAGCTACTGCCCAGACTCAAACCTAAACCTACAGCTACTGCCCAGACTCAAACCTAAACCTACAGCTACTGCCCAGACTCAAACCTAAACCTACAGCTACTGCCCAGACTCAAACCTAGACCTGTGGCTAGTGCCAATACTTAAACTCACCACAGCCTGCACCCATCTTGGCCTGATGGTCCCTATTCAATGCAGAAGTATCAAAACTAATGCTGACATTACAGCTGATGAAACAGTATTCAACTGGTGTGATCTTTCATCATAAACTCACAGAAATTCTAAAAAGGAATGGAAACAAACGGAGGAGAAATGGAAAATCTGTGCCACCAGAAATAGCAAAACGAATAGCAGACTCTAATATAAAAAAAAAACATGCAAAACTGTTAGAGAAAAACCGAAACATTCATTGGCAATACAGTGGATTGGATGGAATCTACAGGAAGTAAACCTTTAACCCACACAAATTTAACCTCTGAGGTCCAGAACTAGGTATTATGCACTGTCATTAAAAGAAGAAAAAAGAAATAACATGAAAGCAGAAGATGAAATAATGATATAGAGTAGGAGATAAGAGTAATATCAGATGCAATCTTTACATAAATCAAAATATTATTAAACAGAAATGTGACTGAAACATTTAATCAAACAGATACCAGACAGAAACAACATATTAAACATTTAAATGACAGAAATGATGTATCAATCACATGCTTGACAGAAAGAATGCAACTTACAGCTCCAACAACTGGCTCTAATGGAATATCATTGTACTTGTCATTTTCTTTGAGTTTATCAGAGTCTCTGGTTTTGCGATCTGACTTGTCTCTGTGCTTGCGATCTTTGTCCCTACTTCTTGATCTGGACCGATTCTTGTGATGGCGATCTGGAGACTTTTTTCTGTGTCTGCCTTGGGATCTGCTACGGGATCTGTGTCTGGTTGGTGTCCTGCTACGGGATCTGTGCCTGCTTCTTGATCTTTTCTTTCTATATCAGGAAACAAACAATGGTACTACAATGTTTTCTGTATCAAACAATTTTATGAAACTGTATTGCTTTAATCCCCATGAGAGTTCCAGTCCCACGATAAGAGGAACAACAAAATAAACCAAGTACTCTTTAACAAGCAGGTAAAGAAGGATACAGACAATCAAACATAAATGCCATAGACAATTTTTACAAATTAGCTTTTCAGAACATAAAACTAACAAATATGTAAAAGACAAAATAAATACATTTACAGGAACCTCTTTTGGCAGTGGTGAACAGTCACAAGCTAGTTTGGTTCGAGCACCTGGTGAGACATGATTTGATTGCAAAGACTATATTTAAAGGAAAACTGGGGAGTAGCTGAAGAAAAACCTGGCATGACAACATCAAGAAATGGACAGGACTCAATTATTATACACTTGTTCGGCCAGTGGAAGACAGAGAAAGATGGTCGGTTTTGTGTGCTGGTGCTTCCACTGATAAACCTCCACGACCCTAATGGGTCAAGGGTCATGGTGTAAGAAGCACGTGTTAAAAGACAACTAAAGAAAGCTTTGCTGAAATCAAATACATTGAGCAAAAATGTACAAATATCAGAGCTTAGCTGTGAACAACATAATGTGCTAACTGCCCTTTCAAGGGTAATCAAGGAGAAGTATTGCTTTCCACATCAATTAATTAATGATAATATTGTGCTTCCCGTATAAATTAATAAATGATACTATTGTGCTTTCCGTATAAATTAATTAATGATACTAATGTGCTTTCTGTATCAATTAATTAATGATACTATTGTGCTTTCCATAAAAATAATGACAATATTGTGCTTTCCATATAAATTAATTAATGGTACTATTGTGCTCTCCATATCAATTAATTAATGATACTATTGTGCTTTCCATATCAATTAATTAATTGATACTATTGTGCTCTCCATATCAATTAATTAATGATAATATTGTGCTTCCCATATCAATTAATTAATGATACTATTGTGCTTTCCATACCAATTAATTAATGATACTATTGTGCTTTCCATATCAATTAATTAATGATACTATTGTGCTTTCCATATCAATTAATTAATGATACTATTGGGCTTTATTTATAAACTAATTATGATACTATTTTGTTTTCTTTATAAATTGATTATGATACTTATTTTACTTTCCATATCAACAATTAATGACAATATATTGCTGTCAACAAATTAATTTATGGTATTATAGTTTTCTTTATCAATAAATTAAGGCCACTAAAATGTAAAACATACAATATACTAAAAGAGAATTATTTCTGATGGCTGCCTTTTAATTGAATGCTTGTTTATGCTATTGGCTTTGACAAGACTGGTCTGTCTCAAATTTTTTATAAACGACAGTGATATGCATTCTGTTCGAGTTTCACTGCAATAGAATTTAGTCATTATGGGACGACATTTGTCATGAAGTTAGAATAGCAATTAACTAACATGTGTTCTGCATCAATGAAATGATATCACTTTCTGAGTGGACAAACAGATCAATGAGTTCAAGGGAATGTTTTAACACTGGCAATGTAAATATTGGTAATACTGCACACATTATTGCCTGGCATATTCCACTGTGTCATGTCAGACATTTACTACAGAACTGACATCAGCAAATACTGAAGCAAAATAAATGAATCCTTGTCATCAAAATTCACAGATCACCAACATAATGTATAGCTCTCAGCACACAACATTCTTTAATTACCTTTTCCTCTCCCTACTTCTGCTCCTGCTCCGATGTCTTCTCTTCTTCTCACCCTCACCACCTTCCCGACCCTGTTTCGATGCATTACCCAGAAGAGCTTCCAACTCCAGCATCATTTTATCTGCAACATCTTTATCTTCTTTAGGTGTTTCTTGCTTGTAGCTCACACTGTCTGTTAGGCGTTTCTTCTCTTTGGTTATTTTACGCTCATCACCGCTGCTTGAAACATCATCATCTTCTTCCTTATCCAGCATGCTCTACAGGAACAAAGTAAATCAATACAGTTGTGCACATTTTCACTTATACTAATTTTGTTTACTCCTAAACCATATGCATACAGAAACAATCTTTATCAACATCAGGGTTCATAGCCACATTTACCAATCAATTTCAAGGTCTCCTTACTTTTTTTTCAAGGTTGTCTCTCTGTAATACTGAAACAAGATTTTTGCCTTCTTCAAGGGTGTACCGAGCACACAATGTACTTCAATTGTGCCACATTTGTTGGTATACCAGCACAGATATCATTATCATCATGTAGCAGGTCCTTTGTCCTGAAAGAAACTCGGTCTCTTGCCAGCTCTCCTGTCTCATGTACTTTCATACTCAAGGAGTCACTCATATTCTGTGCCCATCTTCGTGAGGGTCGGCCCCTGCCCCTCCTTCCTGGTACCATGCCTTCTGCTATTATTTTGCCAAATCCGTCGTAGCACCTGATACAGTGTTTTTATTTTTTGTGTGTGTAGATTTGCTAGTAAAGGGGAGCAAACTGAAGTCCTGTCTGTTCTGGACCTGGTACCTGAAAGGGGGAGAGAGAGAGAGAGAGAGCCGTAAAGAGAGTGGAAGGTGGGAGAGAGAGAGAGAGAGAGTCATACAGAGACGGAGGAAGACACATGCTAACGTAGACTGGGAGAGACAGTGTAAAGATGGAAAGATGAAGGTAGAGGAAAGAAGGGAAAGAGAGTCTGGGGAAGGAGGAAAGAAGACGACAACGAGAGGGAGGGATGGAGACATGATGAGGGGAAGTCTGGAAAGGGGCAACAAAATATAGAGAGGGAGACAAATACAGAAATAGGGGATGCAGATACAGAGATGGGTAGATGAAGAGAGAAGGAAGAAGGGAAAGAAAAAGAGACATGGAAGGAGGAACAAAATGACAAAGAGTGTTGGAGGAAGGGAGACAGGGAAAGAGAATGGAGAGGCAGAGGCAAGCAGAGAGAGATGTAGACATAAAGAAGAGAGAGACAGCATAGAGAGGAAAACAGACATGGTGGGGGTGGGGGTGGTTGCAGTAAGAACACTGAGCACCAAAAATAGAATTAGGAAATCTAAGTGAGGCCACTTTTCTGGTTCCCACCCTCCATGTTTCTAAAAACCACAGCCCTGTAGCTATTTATACTATTAATACTGCTGCACTGGCTAGAAACAAAGCCACACAAGATGGTGACTGCCCCTTCCTGCCCCATGCTACGCCGCTGCTGTCTGAGTGTATCCATGGTCTACAACACAGCCCGCCCTTCCCTAGCCTTTAACAAGTCATTTCAGCTGAAAATAGCCGATAATCAACTGCCCTCATACTTGAAACAACCCGTAAGCAAAAGTAGCCAAATGGCCAAAAAAAAGCCTAACTGCCGAAAACTGCAGGATTTCGACGATCTTATTGTGGCGGTCAAAATTCAAGGCTACTCAAAGTCAGAATGTCCCTTTTAAGGTCAAAATTAATGCTCCTTGTTGAGGCCACAATTTCACGACTAATATCAAGTTTCCTGGTCACCTACGAACCCTGCAACAATTTATGGTCTACTGTTAATAACCAAATAATTCTTTGTAAATGTTAAACTTTTAACATCTACTAATTCTGTCACACATTTCAGACTCAGTCATGAAAATATCATCTCTACAGTTGTCCTCTCTGATAAATTAATCACAAGGAAAGAGATATGTGTCTGAAACTTAAAATAAAACACTAGTATTAATTTTAGAGCTAGAAGAGATTAGCAACATGAATATAGCCAAAGATATTACAAATTATGGTCTCTTCATTTAGATTTTGGTGAAAACACAAATAGGAGGTTCAACAAAATACACATCACAACACTGAGCTATAACTGAAGATGATGACAAATTAAATAAAACATCTTACATTTAACTTTCAGGTTTTATTATCAAGTGCCTTTGGCGTAGGCAATCATGCCTCTCCATTGTGATTCAACATGTATCAGTTCATCTGTTGATACCCCTCTATACCACAATAAAAGGCCGACAATAATCATCTTGCACAGCCTTCCTCTGTCTCTTTTTCCAAAGATGTTTCCAGTGGTCACAACATGTAATAGTTTGCTACTTCTCAAAACATGACCAAAAAATGATGACTGACTCTTCCTAATGTTTGTGATAGGTTGTCTTTAAGCCCTCACTTTTTTTCAAAACATCTGGGCTGCACTGTCCAAGGAATTCTAATGATTCTTCTTTTAAACCACATCTCCGGCCCCACCAAATATTTTGCTTGTTTATTAATAGTTCAGGATTCACAGGTATATGTTCAAACTAGCTCTGTATAGCATGAGAGAATTCTTTTTCTAACCTCCAATGACAAATATGCATTGAATAAAATGTGCTTTATTTTATAAAATGGTTTTTAGCCTGTCCTATATTGTTATTTATCTCTCTGATACATCTTCCCTCGGATGTTGTTCATGTGCTTAGATACTGTCTGTGCTTGTCTTAAAATAGGTTTTATTATGAATAGGCCAATTTTCCAGAACTTTTAAGTGGCCTAATCACAAGCTTTGTAGTAAAATTATATAGCACAGCGACACACACAACAGATGAGTATACTCACTCTCATTTGTGGATTATCTGGCAATGCTAAACCTGGATACAGCTTTCTATTCAAATCTGCATCTGCCTTTTTGTCCTCTTCCTTGGCCACTTCTTCAAAACTCTTCTCTTGTGTCTTTGGTTTCATCTTCTGAATAAGCCTCAGCAGGTTAGCAATCAAAGAGTCCTTGATTAGAAAAGACAAAATATTTACATGCAGTCACTATGGCTTTGTTGTTGCAGATAACTGAGATATACATATCTCTACACTGCTGGGTGTGCAGAAATAAAAGGTAACGAATGAACAGACCAGCTGGCAGGTATTGCACAAATGCATATGGGAAGTTGCATGAACAGAACTGATATCATCAACTCTATACAGACTCGGTTTGTAGTTAATAACGAATCTCTTATGCTAACATGATTACACGAACTGGGAGTGAAGTCTGATGAAGCTTTATCAAAGCCATCTTCAAAGTCAAGATAGAACACACTGTAATCAACTCCTCATGGAAACATATCAAAGCCATCTTCAAAATCAAGATAGAACAGACTGTAATCAACTCCTCATGGAAACAATCAGCTGAGATACCATAAGCTGGCTGCTGCATCACAGGATTTAGTACAGCCAATGCCCAATGTCAGTTGATTTTGGTTGTTGTAACATAATATTTAAAAAAAGAGATACATAAGTTAAAAAGAATAACTGCAAAGTTTCCAGGATAAAAAAAGTTATGTGAATTTGGATATCGGAATATTTAAAACTGTTAGGATGACTCTTCAAATGGCAGCCACTTCTCAATGCCAAGAATCAAAATAACAAGAATCTGGCAGGTGTCTGGCTGCCAGAAGTCACGACACAGACACCCTGTCAGGAATACATTGCTAGATTTCTTTAGTGCACTCTGATTAAACAAAAATGCAGCCCGGTACAGTTGAAGACTAGCTTTATTCTTCTAACTCGCTTTCAGCAGCTGTAAACTTCGGCAGAAAACCCTGGCTGTTTATTCACTTCTGAACTTTGGCCTTGTTCCATAAGTTTATTTTTAAAACATATTTTGTTTATTTGTGTGCAGGCTGTTGATTCCCTGAGCTTCAAGTAGATGATTTCCATCTGTATAGGAAACGATCATATGTCCACTGATGAGGCATCCAGGCGATAACCTGTTTTGAGGATGGCCACAGAGACGAGGCATCAAGGTGATAACCTGTTTTGAGGATGGCCACAGAGACGAGGCATCAAGGTGATAACCTGTTTTGAGGATGGCCACAGAGACGAGGCATCAAGGTGATAACCTGTTTTGAGGATGGCCACAGAGACGAGGCATCCATGTGATAACCTGTTTTGAGGATGGCCACAGAGACGAGGCATCCATGTGATAACCTGTTTTGAGGATGGCCACAGAGACGAGGCATCAAGGTGATAACCTGTTTTGAGGATGGACACAGAGACGAGGCATCCATCTGATAACCTGTTTTGAGGATGGACACAAGAGACGAGGCATCCATCTGATAACCTGTTTTGAGGATGGCCACAGAGACGAGGCATCCATGTGATAACCTGTTTTGGGGATGGCTATGGAGATGCGTAGACAGGATAGATGTTGACCAGTGTGAGCCCTGGTCTTGATGCTCAACTGTGTGTGGTTCAGCCCTTCCTTCTGCATCCTTGAAGAATAATCAATCACACACAATACATTGCTTTGGACCGAAACAGTTCAGTTCTATTAACCAAGTGAAAGATGAACTGAAAAAAATCATGACAATTCACTCAGAAATAAACAGAAACAAAATAATCTATATAAAAAATGTTGGTGATGTTCTAATTGTCTTTTAGCATAAGGCTCAGCTGAAAGCTCAACTGAAATTTATAAAATAGCGCTGTTATCTAGTCTTTATTATCACTGCAAAAGTCTGTTTCTCCAATACTACAAAGGGAAGTGCCAGACTCAAAATCAATCAAGTTGAAGTGGCAAACAAATCAAGTGCGTCAGATGAACTTACAGTAGTCAGAAGTTGAAGAATAAAAAAGAAAAAACCGTCACAATTTCTTTACACACTGTTATTTAACAATTGTTGAACTATAGAAGGACTTTTGGGACATCATATATGTGGACAAATGAAAACTATAAAGCAAAATAATGTGACAACAACGAACAGAAGATACAAACAGCTGCAATGATTTGTGAAGAAAATAATAATTACTGTATAGAGATACAGTGTATGACCAATGATGAGAAGAATCAAACAATAAGTGACTTAATGTAGTTATTAAGACTTCACTAGAGGCACCCTAAGATTTAAGTGACAGGAAATCAGGTAAAATCATCTGTCAATTACAACTATAATCTGCTTACAGAAAATTGTGCATCTTTTTCCTCCAAGACCTTCTTGAAGCTGGCAAAAGTATTGTTCTTCTCCGCTAGATCAATCACATATTCCGCTGAAAGATAAGCGATAAACAGATTCACATTAATAACATGTTTAAAACAGATATAGGATTTACAGTGTGTGACAGTTTCCTGTCAACTTTTCTTCATATGCGAAATTTAAACTTTGAGGTGCAGGCAGGAGGGTCTTTGAGACTGAGAATTTACAGCTGCATAGCTAGTGCTGTCACCACGATGTGCAGGTGAGGATTTTATTTCGCCCTCCCCCCTCCACAGAAAAAATCTCTAAGAAAATTTGAACCCGGGTCACCCTCTTGAGAGCCCAGCATTCTAACCGTTTGGCCAGCTGCTCCTCACATGGTCTAACAATTGTTTTAGTAAAATGCGTAATGTCAACCGCCCCTGATAAGTTGGAAATATATGAGTGGTTGTGTAAACACTGTATACAAGGTCTATATCTCTCTCTGGTTCTTATTTCTTTACCTGTCTGACACGAGGGACCCAAGCAGTGACACTTGCAGCTATTAGAAAACATTTTCCATTACACTAGGGTGAAGACACATCAAGGGATTTCTCATCTGGATATGAAGCTTATGTAGTTATTATGGATTTTCTTCATGTGGACTCAGTCTTTCTGACAGTTATGATAATTAACTTGTACTCTCCACCTTCTCTAAAGGAATGTGCATATTAACTGACATACAAAGCACTTGATGATATTTATAACACTGAAACTATAACATCGATAGACACACAAATGTTGAAGACTGTCATACCCAGATCTTTGTCATTAATGCCCAGATGGTTCTCTAGCTCTGTACACACTTTTGACACCAGAGACAAGTACTCTAGTTTCTGCAGCTCCTCCATCTGAAATGAAAGAGAAAAAAACTGTAACTATCACCTTACCAAGTCAACATACTTGAACTATCACCTTACCAAGTCAACATACTTGAACTATCACCTTACCAAGTCAACATACTTGAACTATCACCTTACCAAGTCAACATACTTGAACTATCACCTTACCAAGTCAACATACTTGAACTATCACCTTACCAAGTCAACATACTTGAACTATCACCTTACCAAGTCAACATACTTGAACTATCACCTTACCAAGTCAACATACTTGAAACTATCACCTTACCAAGTCACAACATACTTGAACTATCACCTTACCCAGTCAACATACTTGAACTATCACCTTACAAAGTCAACATACTTGAACTATCACCTTACCAAGTCAACATACTTGAACTATCACCTTACCAAGTCAACATACTTGAACTATCACCTTACCAAGTCAACATACTTGAACTATCACCTTACCAAGTCAACATACTTGAACTATCACCTTACCAAGTCAACATACTTGAACTATCACCTTACCAAGTCAACATACTTGAACTATCACCTTACCAAGTCAACATACTTGAACTATCACCTTACCAAGTCAACATACTTGAACTATCACCTTACCAAGTCAACATACTTGAACTATCACCTTACCAAGTCAACATACTTGAACTATCACCTTACCAAGTCAACATACTTGAACTATCACCTTACCAAGTCAACATACTTGAACTATCACCTTACCAAGTCAACATACTTGAACTATCACCTTACCAAGTCAACATACTTGAACTATCACCTTACCAAGTCAACATACTTGAACTATCACCTTACCAAGTCAACATACTTGAACTATCACCTTACCAAGTCAACATACTTGAACTATCACCTTACCAAGTCAACATACTTGAACTATCACCTTACCAAGTCAACATACTTGAACTATCACCTTACCAAGTCAACATACTTGAACTATCACCTTACCAAGTCAACATACTTGAACTATCACCTTACTAAGTCAACATATCAGTTTATGAAGAAGAACATCAGGGATTTTGAACTGAAATGCTACAGAAGGTTCTTAGAATATCCTGGGTCAAGAAGAAGAAAAATGCTGACATCAAACTACATGACCTGGACATCAAGAATGTCTGGCTCGTAAACAGCATCCTCTCCCGAAAACTTATGTATTTTGTATATGTCAAACCCTATGGTGGTCTGGAGAGAACAGGGATGGAGGGTGGAGTTTCTGGAAAATGAGGCACCGGTCGACATCCTCAAAGGTGGTTACAGGACACTAAAGATACATTAGTTATGAAAGCATACAGGGTGGCGCGGTGATTTCGGTCACAGGCATGAGGCAAAGTTAAGTCTGATGTGAGGTGTATAAGGAAATACTCTGTACCCCGCTCGGGCGCCAGTCCTTCACTGTTCTGGTTTTACGGCACCTCATGCAAGACTCCTGCTGCACGTCCCCGTCGTGCGCCACGGATAATGTCTCAAATGAGCATTAACAGAGTTGGCGGGGGATCTCGGAGCTGGCGGCCCCTAGAGGTGTAGTGTCCTTTCTGGCTCTCACCAGCCCGCCCCCAAACGCATGGGTGAAAAGTCTAACAAACCTCAAAAATTGCTTGCTAAATGTACCATCAAATGACAACTCTTGGTTAAAATTCGGGAGGAAATTTAAAACTGTGCTGCTGAGACTCAACCCTGACCGAGAGATTTACCCGCAGCCAAGACGAGTAACATCTCTTGTGGGCGACTTCTCGCAGCAAGATCCTACACGTACATCCTCAATCCTCAGTGTCGTCGTCACCGCGCTGACGTACACCACGGCAGCAACTTTTCATATGCTGGCTTGGAAATAATGTCCGACAAAGTTATACCCCACGGCACACATGCAAGCTCAAAGTCTGACGATCATAATTCGTACCGATTAGGAAAAAGTCTGAATGTCCGTATCCACTGGTCCAACTCGCCCGAGTGTTGGGACCAAACAGGTGAAGCCACGCCTGACGCATTTTGCTTCCACATTCTGTCGTGCTAAGGGCACAGCTGGAACAACGTTAAAGGTGTCTAACGTAAGATGAAAAAGAATGTACCTATTTGTGTGGCCACAAACGTCCTAGACCTGCGGGCTGCTCCCCGCTGATCTCCGGAGAGCGCAGCCTTGTAGCGCAGGAAGCTCAATACACGGTTGTGAGGTTAAGCAGTCATGGGCAGGACGTGACGATTCCTTGGGTGAGAACAGAACCAGAATATCATGTGTCGGCTTTGCATTTAAGAAGCCTCCTTGGATGGCGGGGAATGCCCATGATCTGCCCCTGCCTTCCCTTGAGGGCTGAAAACTCTACATAGAGCTGCCTTAAGGACGACATTCAGGGGGCCACACCTATTAAAAGTCAAAGAGGACACCACACAAATGAGGCAACATCTCGACCCACACAAAACAATGGCCACAGTCAACCTAGAAATAGGCTTGACGTCTTCCTCCGAAGTCGGAGTACATCTGCCGGAGAGGCGGGGAACGAGAACTGCAAACAAATAAGCCAGTTAAACGGATGTACACGCAAAACTCAGGTCAAGGTAAAAGCCAAAAGTCCATTTTGGATGAACAACCGCGACTTACCGCCGGTGAACAAGAAGAAGAAGAAGAAGAAAGCATACAGGGCTGGCTGGAGAACTGGCTAAAGAAAGAAAGACCTTCTGTGAAGTGAAAGGAACAACATTCTGTAAAGGACATGCTTATTAACTTTGGCAAGTTTTCACACACATATATACTCTGACAATCAAATCTTTGCATCATTCTTTAAATAAAATAAAATGGCAAAGGGAGAAATGCCCAGGTTTCAGTGAGGACTATTGTGACATTAAGATGTTTTTGGTTTGTTTTTGTACAACAGATCAACATCATGGTTACTACCCATATGCTTCGTTCTTCTTCTAACTCAAGTCTGAGTCAGAAGAAGCTCAGCACAGTGCACAGGCTCTGTAGCACCGGTGAGGATCCTGAAATACTTTGGGTAGATTTATAACTCCAAATTTTGCCTCGGCAGCCTGTTAGGCTACTCTTTTCGATTTCCAACTGCCAAAGGATTTTTAACGTGCGCGAAAATGCACACGGGCATTGAGATCTTTGAGTGAACTAGTCTACAGTTGAAAAGAGTCAATGATGCAGAAAGGAAACAGTAAAAACTCTCAAAGCAAACACAGAATACTACAATTGGCAATTACTAATTACATATATAATAACTGTGTGTGCGCACGCAAGCGGACATGCGTGCGTGTGTGTGAGAAAGATGTTTCAAAGCATGGTGTAACATACTGTTTTTTTGTTGGTCCTGAAACAAATTACATAAAATGTAAGTGAGGTATCCGATACTGTGCCATTCTATTTCCACCAGTATTGGCACTGCTGGCTAAGTACAACATTCTCAACAGTATAATCTGTCATGCTACACGTATGATGTCACTAAACTTGGGAGCTCTCAGCAAACTTTCTTTGGTTTGTCATTGATTTTAAGTTTCCTCATTCCAACCATGGCATTAGTATTCAGTATTATATTTTTATTAAAGTATAATTATACTTAATGAACTTAATTTACTTACACCTTACTTTTAATACCTAATAAATATCTCACAGCACACAGTAACGCCTTTAATTTTTATTTTACATTTAGGCACCATTCTTTTCTTGAAAATCACCATTACTTCTATCTTTCCATTATTCAAACTGAGGCTCATTATACGTACTTAAGTTTTTAGTTAACACACAGTAAACAAAACACTTATGACTAAACCCACAACAGTTTTCGAATAGTTCGAATTCAATGACATAAATTAATACTCACCTTATATATGTATATATTATATATAAAACACAAATAATTCGCCGAGAACTGTGTTTATCGTTCTTTACATCGACTTCTGTCTTTCCTTAAGCCAAAAGACAATATTACAAAAGAATGCGACGAACTAAAAACGATCAAATCTTGTCGATAAAGAAATAAAGATTGGTTAGTAACTTTTAGTAATGGTTGTTCCCAGACAAATCCCACTCCTTAGGTGTTTGACAGTCTAGCACAGTGTTGCCACTTTTCTTTGACAAAAAATATCCAAAACGGTGTCAGAAAATATCTAAAATGATCTAAATCTGCGTGGAAAAGATCTAGAAAAAACATCCAAATTGAAAAAGTCAAAAATTACATAGCTTTTGTTATGACTTACCCTACATAATCATGTCCTCACCTTCACTGATGTCTGCTTCACAAGATCCACCAGATAAAACTTAGCTTGGATAATGAAGTTGAAGCTTCAGATCCAAAATGACCCTGGTATGCTTTAGATGTTCAAATTTCTTTATAAGTGGGCTTATTTCTCTAGTCTCATCAGGCCGAATTTTAATGGCACGATAGACTTTAAGAGGTCAAATTTCATCCTGTTTTTTAGGTTAGATTTGATATAATTCCTAGCACTGAAAACTCTTTCTACGTCGGCATTTTGAGTGGGGTAGTATCATGGCAGACATGGCACTTTAAAGAGCTTACAGAATGGACTGTTTGGACTCTTTAAATTGTCTCACTTCACTCCAGAAAGCTGTAGTTTCTGTTTTGTTTGTCCATTCAGCTAACTTTTTTTTGGTTAACTGATATTCTGCTTCAGCGACACTATTATCAGTAGCCCCTAAAAATTTCATAACTTTACAATATTTAGGTATGTCCTTTATTGGCTGAAGTATGTTGCTCACATTAAAAAGTGAAATATTTTTCAAAACATATAGATTTTCAGGAAGTCTCTGCTTCAATAATGAGATAAGAAAATCTTGTCAGCGTTTTCTTAAGTTGTTATCTTCATTCTCTGTTAACAGACCTTTTGTTTTTAAATCATCAATTTTTTTTATTGATTTAATATCCAAGGTGTGGCTTAGGAGCAAAATAGATCTCTATAGTGCAAGTGAGCAAATCAGCTTTAGAAGTTGGCAACACCAGTCTCCTACCGAGTGAAATAGCAAG